AGTAGGGGTTACTAAAAGGGATGGGTACAAATCACATGGCAGTGATGTTAATCAACGAAAATATAGAGCGATCAAATATATCACCGAAAGTTTCAACAAACATAAGCAAAAACACAGTTTTTGTTGTTGACACAACAAAATTGCATAATGAAGAGGATGCGAAGTGTGATGATATGAGTGCTTTAGTACAGGTGAAACTGGAAAAGTTTTAAGAAGTACGACAACGGAAGAAGGCTGAGCGTTACAAGCTAAAACGAGAGTCCTTTGTAAATACGAGTGATACCTCTGTTCGAAAAATTGTCGCCATTGCCCGCAATATCATTACCGATACAGCAAAGGGCATTTTATTCAATACGGGGGTACTGGAGATAGTGGTTAAGCCCCACGGAAATGCAAAACAAAAAGATGCTGAAGACCCTTGTTTATAAAAGAACAATGAAAAGATCTCATAATGGAAAAGCCTGTGTCAGTACCACCACGGATGGCGACACAGGAAATTATCAAAGAACGAGGTGGCATAATGAATATAATCCAAGCGTGTGATTTTCCACGAAACCGCAACCAGGTTTACAACATGAAAAGGAAATTAAAGGGAAATAAGGGAAACGCTAACACACAAGTTAATAGCAACGATTCCTTGCTACAAGTAATAACAATGGCGAAAGAGGAACAGAAGGAAAGAATCGAATACGCTTTTACTAGGGAAATTCTTTTGTTTCCTGAACCCAATTGTTTTTCTGGCTTCTGAGCAGCAGCTAGTAGATGTCGAGCGCTTTGGCATGAATCCAGCAAAGTTCTGCATTCGTGGAGTGGATGCAACGTTTCAAATTGAATATTATTCTCCAAAACAGGTCAAATATTGTGCAACAAAGCATGTGTGAATTGGTGCATGTACAATTTGTGCTCTCACACTGTTGGCCGTAGCAGAAACATCAAAGCGCTTGAAAGATTTTCTTTGTTGGTTTAGAAAACAAAAGCATCCCGCAAACCTCACTTTGCTTGCAAACATGAATATGTCTGAGAACAAAGGGCGTAAATGTGGCACAAAGAAGACTCAACAGAGCCAATGGATTCATTGATCTCACCTTAGCATGATGAGCCTCAACTGACAATCTTTTAATAGCATTTAACGTCAACAAAGCCAACATTCAATTTCGCCCAACACTGACAAATATGGCCTGCCAACCTGGTTTCACAAAGACCAACGTCACATTGCCAAGTGCTCTTTCACTGAACGCCCCATTTCAGCCTGGTTTAATGCCAGTTAACAGCAATCGTCAACCTGGCTTTATTTCACCATATGCTGTCCAACTATCACCACTTGTCGATCCACTTAACCATGCACAAGTTAACCCTCTTGCAACTCATCAAGCTAATCAGCGCAGTCCAGCAAGACAGAAACCAGTTCCAGGTTCATTCGCATTTGCGAGACTTCCATACCTGGATAGTCGAATATCACGTTGCTATGGCTGCGGTGAATTGTTAAAGCCTGGAAATGTTATGCCTTCTCCACCACACCATTTAGTACTGACTACTAAACTGAATCGGAAATACTACAAGGACGGACAGTTGCAAACATCACCAAGTATCTCATCCGTTTATCTTCATATTAACTTGTACTGTACACCAACAGCTCTTCCTCAGTTTACACCGGCTTTGTGCCATTTACCAAGCGATTTAATTTTGTTTCTTCAGAAGGAACATTACAACCTCATGCTGGCGAAATTGGGTATAAATTTTGCACGGCTTTAGAGCTGTTCTATTTCTGCACGGCTTTAGAGCTGTTCTATTTCTGCACGGCTTTAGAGCTGTTCAATATTTCTCTGGCACAAAATTAATTATTGAAATCTTGGCGAACCAGTGGTTTTTATTACTACTGATCTATGTAATTTTGTTTTGTTATGTTACTGTTGTTTCGTTAAATATCACTACAACGTACAATGCTTCATTTGAAGCAATGGATTATACTGGTACAGCAAGCCAGTAAGCAAACTAAATGTCAGTAGTTGCTTTTCTAAGTAGAACAAGTTTATTTTTTATGTAATAATAAACTGTTTTCTGCATTTACAGCACTGGACTTTAAGGCGATGTTACACATAATAATTTTCAACATCAACTCGCAATGCAGTAACAAACAAAAATTTGAACAATGCATGCTTTGTGGATTAAACAGTCATAATAAACTTTCTACTTGTTTCATAAAAACTGCTCATATAGCTATATACCATATTCAACGCGTAAACCTTTTGCAAAAACACCAGTTACCGCCTTGCAAGTTGATGTTGAAAACATTTTTGTGTAACATTTAATTTACCTTTCAACGATGGGAAAGTAAATTAATGTAAAAACATTTAGATTGGTCTTAAATTAAATATAACAAATGATCATCATGTTGTACAACTGATTGTCGAGTTAGCGTTTTACAGATTTTGGGTCTGCGTTTTACAGATTTTGAGTCTGTGTTTTACAGATTTTGAGTTCAAGTCCAGTCGAGTCTGTGTTTTACAAATACAGTCCAGTCCGTGTTTTACAACATGCCTCCATATCAAAGTCAAGTTGTCAGAATTGTGCCAATTGACATACCCAAAATAGAGATATCTTTATCTTCAACTTCAGCAATTTTGGAATGTGTAAAAGATAATATTGCAACAGAGAAGTTGATTTTCAGACCAGCTTTGTTGGAATATGCCTCACAGTCCATTGGTCATGTAGTGCTGGTCATTTTGGTGGAAGGTGGGCTGCACAACTTCATTGTGAAGGCATCCATGCTGGAAACCTTATGTTGGCATAAGCTATACCATTGTTTGGCAATTCATACACAAAAATAGGATTTCTGTGTAAAGTGATTAATTTCCATTTCTTCTCCACAAACCTGTATAATCAATACCAGAGCCTTTATATTAGACCTGTAGTAAACGATTATTGGGATAATATGAAAGATGCTGCATGGAAAGGAAGAGATAAGGAAATCATTGTCAGTTCTGATGGAAGGAATGATTCACCAGGTCATTCTGCCCAATATTGCACCTATACTTTTGCTGAGATGGAGACAAAATTTGGAACTCAACATTCTTGATGTGAGGGAAGTAAGAGAGAGAAAGAGCCCCAAAATGGAAAGAGTTGGTTTCAAGAGAGGTCTTGATAGGTTGATGGAATCAAAGATGATCATTAAAGAGGTGGTCACAGATGGGCATTTGTTTTCATCTGAAATGAGGGTAGTGTGTGTTAAAGAGATAAAAGCTATCCCACTTCCAGTGCAAAAAGAATAAATTGGGTGGCATTAGTTATACATAGTTGCCAAGTTTTGGAAAAAAAAATTGTGAGATTATAGTTTTTTCTTAATTTGGAGCAAGCGTCATAGACATAGGTTTTTGGGAGGTTAGAGCACACAAAAAATTTCAAATTTAGGGTCATGGTAATTTGATATTGTTTCGAAAAAACAATTTGTGACATACAGTATTATTTTGGAATAGAATATTATAATGCATAATAGTTAATATACAAAATAAACTTCTAACATGTTTCAAATATCAAAATATGAACAAGGAAAATCGAGACAAAGTAATTACAGTACTATTGGGATAGAACACGAAATGTCATATTTAAGATTTAGAGGAATGCTCCTCATTGTGGGACACAGTTGCTTTCTTTGCGTTATCCAATAAATCCCTATCTGGCTGAAAGTTAAAACACTTTGCTTTTTCCTCTGGAGAGTCTAGTTTTACAGCTAGGATTGTTGATAATGACCCTTCTTGGTTCAAGCGATATCTGTCGGAACTTTCATTTTTATTCTTATTCACTAACCTGAATACATGCTCGATGCCAGCATTTGAATGTGGAATCAACAGGACAATCCGAGCGACTTGAAACAACAAATGAAATCTCCAGTTGTTCCCAATGGAGCTTCGCAGTTGTCTCAGATAGTACCAAATGACATCCATGCGATATTCGACATTGCCATCCTCAAACTTGTGTAAGGTAGCATTATCAAGCATATCCCTTGGTAGTTCACTTGTGTCAATTAGTTGATAGTCAACAAACTGCTCATACAAGACATTGATTTCATGATCATCAAATTGCAAAACAGATCTAAAGTTTTTAATAAAATATTCAACATCCAACCAAGATGCTTCACCCCTCTTGAAAAAATCTATCCAAATTGCATGAACCCACAGAGTGCCAGCCATTTCCATTTTTGTTAAAACATACTGAAGTGAAGTGCCAAAAAATTCTCGAGCGCCATGTAGACATTTGTTGTAGCCCTCTTGGGTAATGTCTCCATCATTCAGCTTCTTGTTCAATAACCCTTTTGTGGTAAAACCAGCGTTTCCACTTTGAAGGAAATTTCCTTTTCGAAGGAAATTTCGACAAAATGAGGGAAACAAAAAGGAAATGGAATTTTGAAGGAAATTTGAAGGAAAAACCTTATATGCAATTTAGTTACTTTTTAAAAAAGTAATGTATCGTGCTCAATTGTTCAAATCGAGATTTCACATATGGAACGAGGAGTGCATGGCTTCTGGTTAAGTAATTGCATTGATTGCAGTGAACTCTTAGTCTCTAATAAGTCTTATGCCTGGCCAAGGATTTAGCCCTCAGTGCTCAGGCACAGATTAATCAGTGCCTCAGGCACAGAATACCTAACAGAAGTAGAACTCTATACTATTTTTTCGTAAGTGTGATTAGTCATGATTCGTCACTTAGCAAGTGCATTTTTTTAGGCCGTCACCCCACCCCCCTGCCAATGTCTAAAATCACAGCATTTTAGTATTGGCAGGGGGGTGACTCCTCAAAAAAATGCACTTGCTAAGTGACGAATCATAACGAATCACACTTACAGGAAGTTCAGGAGTTCAGTTACAAGTACAGGAGTTCTACTTTGGTTAGGTATTCTGTGCCTCAGAGTTGTCATGGTCACGACTCACCAGTTGTCACGGTCAAATGTTTTTTAAAAAGTAATATGAAATATGTAAATAATATGTAAATTTACATTTCTAAATATGAATGGTAGTAGTGATGCTTCATCTGGTTGTGAGGATGACACCGAGAATGAGATCGAACAGAGAAGCAAACAAACGAGTGCGAAGAAACGCAAGAAAACGCCTAAAAGGGAGCAACCATTTATGGACAGTTGGTTACAGCTTCCCCAGTTCAAGAATTTGCTCGTGAGAAGATTAGCTAATGATTGGAAAGCTAAGTCATACTGCAAACTTTGTGAACAAATGTTAACTTGTTCAAAAACCGGAATTAAACGGCATGCTAGTAGCAAAAAACATCAAAGTAAAGAGAAATTGACTTCAACAACCATGTCTCTTGGTCATATGGTGAATCAAATCAGAAATGAGAACGATATTGCAACATCTATGGAAGTAAAAATTTGTGCATTTATAGTCGAGCATAATTTACCTTTATCAATCTCAGAAAGTATGGTCAGACTTCTTTCCTCAATGTTTCCAAATGATGCTTCCTTAAAGAAAGTCAAACTTGGAAAACAAAAGGCAACCAATATTCTGCGTCAAGTTCTCGGCTTTGATTATCTTCAGGATATGGTAACATTGTTGCAGTCAAAGATGTTCAGTATAATCATTGACAAAGCTATTGATAAAAGTGCAAAGAAACAACTTGCTATCATTGCTGTTTTCTTTGATTTGGAAAAATTTGAGTTACAATATTGGCTGGTAGACCTAATTGAGACAGCTGATGGAACTGCAAATGGAATTTATTCAAAGATTAAGGAAACATTCCAAGGAATGAATATTCCAGTTGTAAACATAGTGGGCTATGCTTCAGATACAACAAACGTCATGTTCGGACAGAATCATTCCGTCTCACAGTTGCTGAAATCTGAAATCAGTCATGTTCAAATTGTAAAATGCTCCTGTCAACTTATCCACTTGGTATCATCACAAGCAGCTTTAAAGCTTCCAAAAAGTGTTGAAGACCTGTGTAGAGATATATATGCTCATTTTCACAGGTCTTCAAAAAGACAGGACACTTACAAAGAATTCCAAGCATTTTTTTGAAATGGAACCACATAAGATGTTATCTCCATCACAAACCAGATGGCTTTCTTTGCAAGAATGTGTTGCTCGTATATTGGAGCAGTATGAAGCTTTGAAACATTACTTTGTCTTGTAGCAAGTGATGACCCATCTAATACCAATGACCGAATTCTTGCTTCACTTTAAAATCGATTTGTTCAAGCATACCTAGAATTTTTAAGTTTTTAACTTGAGAGATTTAACGGATTTAATCGGTTATTTCAAAGCGCTTTGATTATGTTTTTATGATGATATGTTTTTTGTGTTCATTTATCCAGGAATACATATCTTGCAGTTTAAATCCTGCTAATAAACTGGGTTTGAATGCACCATAGCACAGATATGATCGTCCTGGTACTCTGACTAATGCCTGTTTATGTAGCAATTCCTTCACTACAGCTTGAAGGTCCTTAGTTGTGGACTGGGCTACGTGCTTACCTGAAGGTTTACGTAACTTGACAGCATTGTCAAAATTCTCCATAAGCACCTTTGTTGTTGACATGCAGTGACAAACCCTATCGATTGACCTTTTGCTGGCACTTGGACCAATTTTCTTTATGGCCTCTTTCACCACCCTGTTCAAAAATTCCAGGTTCAAATCCAAGGAGATGTTTCCACCAGCACCATGTTTTGTCTTCACAAATCGGTTCCAAATCAGTTGGTGAGCTGCACGGGGTGACAATAATGCGTAAATCTGGAACATCAATCAGCATGTGCTTGTTATGTACAGACGTGCCTCTATGAGCTCCTGAATTGTTATCAAAACTGTCGAAATAAAACATGTCAAAGGACACTGTTAAGTCACTAAAGAAACAAAATGATGATCTAAAGGCGCAAATTGAGATTCTGATGAAAGATTTTAGAAAACTAGAAGAAAATGTAAAACAAAATGAAGCACGTAACGCCGACCAGATGAATTCTCCATCGACTGTGAACAAAGAGACCATCAAGTCCTTGGAGTATTTGGGAAGCGAGTACGACGACCTACAAAGCTTCCGAACATCGGCAAGAAGACAACTTTCGCATCTAGAAGCCCGTATAACAGAAATTGCTGAAAATGTAGAAAACCTCTCAAAGTCAATTGACGATGCTCAGCAATACAACTACTCCTTCAATGTCAAATTGCTGGGAATACCCGAGCTTGAAGCCAAAGAATCTGCTATCCAGACAAGTACACTATGTGTACAAATCTTCAACGCCATGGGCGCTCAAGTGACACTACAAGACGTAGACATTGCTCATCGCGTACAGACAAGAAGGAATAATGATGGACGACCCAAACCAATAGTCTGCAAATTCATACGACGCCTTGCCCGTGAGCAAGTAATGGCAGTAAGAAGGGACATTAAGAAAATCGATCCAAGACTTGTTGGCTTACCCGAGGAATCTTTAGCGAACGCTGCTGTATACGACCACCTAACGCCGAAGACCCAACAACTTCTAGCAGATGCTAAAAGATTCAAAGACGAAAATGATTTCAGATTCTGTTGGACGAAAAACTCTATGGTATATCTTCGAAAACATGAAGATTCCCGAGCGATCAAGATCAAAGACCAACGTGATCTGGCGAACTTGCAAACAACCCAAAGTTAAATCCAAAATAAGCAACAGCTAAGTAGAATTGAACTTTTTTTTTATATGTCTAACTATACTCTAGTATTTAGATAAACATGGCGAACTCAATGACAGCAAAAGATATTGCTTTGAATAAAGCACTCCTTAGGGAGTTGCCATACTATGGTTTAAATTTTACTCAATTCCATGGGCAATTTAATAATAGGTTAAAAAGTTCCTTGCCAACAAAGAGATACCTTAAGCGCTTAACTAGCATCCATGATCTAGATCTTTTCAACCTAAACATTTCCGATGAAAATTCTGAGTCGGTAACGTGTTTACCAACGGTTCGTTGTAAATATTATTCACCAAATAGCTTTAGTCAGCTAAAAAATAAGTCTAGTACATCTGCAACCAGGAACAGTTTTTCCTTACTTCATAATAATTTAGAAGCCTCAAACGCAATTTAGAAAACTTTCAATCACATTTACTAGAAGAACTTAATTATCAGTTTAGTGTAATAGGAATCACTGAAACTAGAATCAATCAAGACACTTTATGATTTTAATCCATCAATACCAAATTATAGATTCGAATTTGTCCCAACACCTCATGCCGCCGGCGGTGTTGGTATGTATATTCACAATACCCTAAAATATAGAACAATAGAAAAATGCTCTGATGAGGCATTCCAAGCCCTTTGGATTGAAATTCAGTTACCAAGGAGTGCAAACATAATATGCTGGAGTAATCTATAGACAGCATAATTCACCTGAGCGTTTTCAAGCCTACTTTGAGGAGACAATTGAGAAACTGACTGGGTTTGGTAAACCTATTTATTTAATGGGTGATACGAACATAAATCTTCTTCGCTCAGAAACCTGTAATTTTGCCCAAAACTTTCTTCTCTCTTTACAAAGTTTTAATTTAATTCCTACTATTGACAAACCAACTCGCGTGTACAATAATTCTGCCACACTCATAGATAATATTTTTATTCATAAGATTGAAGACCGCATTATTAGCAGTAATATTGTCTCAGATATTAGTGATCACTATTCACAATTTTGTATCACTCGATCTAGTATTATGACCAAAACTTCAAACTTACACAATACTTTTCATCGTGATTATTCAAAGTTTTCTGATGCAAATTTTGTTAATGACCTTACACAACTTGACTTAAGTCGTATTGTTTCTTGTACAATTGATACAAGTAAAGCATTTTCTACCTTTTATAATAAGCTTAACAAGTTAATTGACAAGCATGCCCCTTTAAAGCCAGTTTCAAATCGTAAACCTAAACAATTATCAAAACCATGGATAACAAAAGGCATCAGACAGTCTATTAAAATTAAAAATTCATTTTATTTTTCGGGTGATATAGACAAATATAAGCTGTATAGAAATAAGGTATTGATGCTTACTCGCTTGAGTAAGAAAGCTTATTATCATAAATACTTCGAAATTAATTTAAAAAACACCAAGAAGACTTGGATAGGTATAAACAATTTAATCAACCGTAAAAAGAGGAATAGTAAACCAATTACCGTTCTTAAATGTCCTCTCAGTCAAAGATTGTCACACAATACTTTTGAGCACCCTAATATTCTTAACAAATTTTTCTCGTCTGTTGGCCATTCTCTTGCCTCAGAAATACCAAATCCGTCTGTCGAGTTTACAGATTATTTGCCTAGTTTGAACAATTCAAACTCTTTCGCTTTTAGTCTCGTTACTCCAAAAGAAATCGAACTGGAGTTATTGTCAATACCAGCAAACAAAGCGTATGGTCTATATTCCTGCCCTGTTCGTATTCTAAAATGTGCAAGAAATATATTATGCCATCCTCTATCTTACCTGATTAATAAGTCAGTTGAAAATGGCTCTTTTCCTGCTAAATTAAAGCATGCTAAAGTTATCCCTATATACAAAGATGATGATGAATCTGACCCCTCAAACTATAGACCAATATCTCTCCTCTCCGTATTTAACAGAATCTTTGAAAAAACAATGTACAATCGTCTTAAAGCATACCTTGAGAAATACCAGATGCTGTTTGAATCTCAGTATGGTTTTCGTGAGAAACATTCTACTCAACACGCTCTTCTCGATATAGTGAACCAAATACAAACTAATATGGACCAGAAAATGTATTCATGCGGTATCTTCATTGATTTAAAAAAAGCATTTGATATGGTAAATCACATGATACTACTAAAAAAATTAGAGCACTATGGAATACGTGGTGTCGTAAACGATTGGTTCTCGTCATATTTAATTGGACGTATTCAGACAACACAAATTGGCCCAAATATTTCAGACAAAGAGGAAACGCTATCTGGTGTTCCTCAAGGTTCAGTTTTGGGACCTCTGCTATTTCTTATCTATATAAATGACATTTATAACTCATCTAAGAAATTAAAATTTTATTTGTTTGCGGATGACACTAACTTATTATATGCTGATAAAAAATTAAAGTCACTTGAAAATATTGTTAACCTTGAACTCTCTAATTTGTGCACGTGGCTAAACGCAAACAAATTATCATTGAATATTAAGAAATCTAACTTTGTTATCTTTCACCCATACCAAAAACGGCTTGAATATGAAGTACATTTGAAAATATTTGATTTTCAATCTAATACCTATATCCCTTTAGAACGCAAAAGTTATGTCAAATATCTAGGCGTACTCATTGATAGCAACCTCTCATGGAAATATCACATTAGCCACATTGCTTCAAAAATAAGTAAAATGATTGGTATTATCGCTAAATTGAGACATTTTGTACCTACAAGTACTTTACGTAACATTTACAGATCCCTTATCTTACCGCATATATCATATGGCATTGTGGTATGGGGTCAAGCCGCAAAAACTCATCTTAACAAAATTCTTAAACTTCAAAAACGTGCTCTCCGGTTAATATATTTTGAGCAGTATGCAGCTCATGCAATTCCATTATTTGTCTCTGCTAATGCACTGCCCGTTAATATGCTGTACTTCATGTCTGTGTCTACTTTGATGTTTGATGTGGCAAATAACTTTACACCGTCTAACATTTCCAATTTGTTTGTTTCTTCTAACCAAGTGCACAAATATAGTACTAGGTTTTCTTTAAGAGGCAATTATTATGTCAAATATTCAAATTCTGCCCAACAAATTAAGTCATTTTCAAGAGCTGGAGTTAGGATATGGAATAGTATTCCTATTAGTATGTCAAAGCTATCAAAAAATAACTTTAAAAAAACGCTAAATCTAACACTACTTCATATACTCTCACATGAGGACGATTATGTTGATTTAGAAACAATAATTAGAAAAATAAAAAAAAGTTAATTTCTTTGAATATATATGAAAATTTAGCATTTAAGGATGCTATTGTGTTTGCACTCTCGGTACCTTAAACAATGGAATGTATGAATCCG